CCTTGCCCTACGTCTACGACTGAGACTTAAGCGTTTACGGATTGTTCTCTGCCATCAGCCAATGACGTTTCACGCGTGAGTTAAAAGGTCAGAGTGCACGAGCGCGGCGCGGAAGCGCCGCGGGCCGCCGGAACGTATCCCCGCGTTCCGCCGAGCAATATGGTGACCCACGCCTCCGTGCGTTCCGCTCCGAGCCGCTAAACGGCGCACGGCTTTTACGCCGATTCGTGTGCGATGACCTTTGGGTGCGCACTGGTGCACGCAGCCGACTCGCCGGACAAATCGTAGGAAGAGGCGATCACGGCCGCCTCTCGAAAATAACGCGAATCGAAGCCGGGAGAAACGCCCCCGCGTCGCTCTCCGCGGGGCTCCCTTTCCGCGAGAATTCGACTTTTATCTCGACTCGCATCTCGATTTCTTTTCCTATATACCGAGTCCCGTTCTCGCGGAGGCCGCGGTAAAACGGGGAAAGAAATGCCTCCTCGCGTGGCGCAAACGCGCGCGTCTACGATTTTGCAAGATCCAAGCTTCGAGCGGCGCCTCCCGAAGACTTCGTTGCGTCGCGGCGAATCGTAAATGTTCTCCATTTCATGCATTTTATCCTTTTTCTTTCTCACCCGAGACAGTCTGGTTGACAGTCCGCGCTTTTGTGGATCGCGCGCTCCTCGCGACTTATGGCTGACGGCAGAGAACAATCCGCAAACGCTTAAGACTGTCTCAGTCGTAGACGTAGGGCAAGGCAGAGAGAAACGTAAGTCGTGAAAGGCTATTGTATACGACTTACGTTTCTCTCTGCCTTGCCCTACGTCTACGACTCAGCCTATCTCTCGCCGATCTCATCTACACTTTGTTCCTTAACGCGCGATACGAGCGTCGGGTTCGATACGTCGAGAACGCAACCCTTTCACCACTGCGGGGATAATTCCGTTCCGGCGATTTAAGATTTAGGTGGCGGCGCGACGAATATCGAATTCCTGGGAGATCACGCGGTATCGCCGATCTATCACGGCCGATCGCGTTCCGATAGAAAATTCCGACGGAATGATTACAGCGGTTTAATTTATGGAAATCACAGACCAGGAAAAGATTTTATTTACGCGCGTACCCGGAATGTCCTGCTCTCGCGGGAAATATCTTTAATCTTCCCAGGAGAACGACACGTGAGCGCGTACGCGAGATAAATTGAAGGATAAAAGACGCAATTTTGCTTGACGCGCCGAGGAAAATTGATCCGCTGCTAAAGGAAACATCAAGGAACGTTAAGGAGCGCTCGTTGCGTTCGATGCCCGTGTAAGTTTTTTAAGTGGAACGCTGGTAGCACTCAACTCGTCGACGAGGTGAAATCGCTAATTAATTTTAGTACGAATGTAACACACGGCCGTTGGCAGTCGGAAGGGACACCTCTGGATTGATTTAATCAGCGAAACGCGACAGTTAGCGATCGCGAGACAGACTTATTGTTAAACGCGCACAAACAGCGCGTTGCATACAGCCGCGTGTATAATAAACGGCACAATTTAGAGAAAGCGTTCTCGTAGCCTAGCGGCGTTGCAAAACGTCAAGTTTAACAGGACGATTGACACACCTCTGGCTATATTAAATCCGAGAAATGGAGTGTGAATTCTATATCAGAAGGAGTCACTCGACCGCGTTGATTTCGAAGACTCGCTAACGCTGTCAACGACGCCGAAAACCACTCCGCTATCGTCGATCTCTCCCTCGCATATGAGTTCCTAGACTCCCACGTCGGCAATAATGCAAAGGTTTGAGACGCGTGAACCCAGAGAACGTGCACGCCTAAAAAAACATCTTTAAGACGTCTATTAGACGTCTTCTAGACAGGCATGTTCTCCGGGAATCTACACGGAGAGAATTTTCTCTGAAAATTCATCATGAAAATCGTGGTGTTTTGAAGAATTTTATGAGAGTGTTTGGAAATTTTATCGTGCAATTTGCTCGCAAAATGTACGCCAAGTGTAATCGCTAGTAAAAGCTGTGGTAAAATTTCAAAAAACTCTTATAAAGTTCTTGAAAGCGCCGTGTTGTCCCACGATTACGCGAGTTTCAGGGTAAGTTTTCAGAAAAAAATTCCCCCCGTCTAGATATTCTTAACCGCCGGACAGTTTTTTCCGCGCACAATTCTATAATTACACGGCAAATGTGTAGCAAGAAAGGAGCCTCGAGAAATGCCTTGGCAACGAATGCTGACCAATAACGGTTCGCTAGTCAGGGTTACGAGTGAATCGGCGCGTTGTAGGTGATTAGCCGCGGGGCACCGCGGGCAGCGTTGCAATCACTGGCCATTATCGGGTGGTGATTTCAATGCTAGAGGATGCGCGGGCCGCAGAGAGTGCGTGAAACTGTCCTTTAAAGATCCGGGCGTCGCGCGATTCATGTGTTTGTTTGCGCGATTCGCGGGGGACCCCGAGGGGTAGGTTCATTCATACACGGCGACTTCGATCGATATTGTGTATTTACGCGGGACAAACACCGACGATAGGATCTTGGGATACGCGGTTGGGTTATATTTTTAGAATTTATTCTCATTTCCTTTCTATTTATACGCGGACACGAGGCGTTTCACGGCATAATTGCGATCCGCGTTTAGAACTTTTCGTCCGATCGATGTCCTTGTTTCATTGTTAGGAAATGGGCAAATATTTGAGACTATGGGAAGCTAGAAAGATTTTAAGAAACTCCAGTTAAAATAACAGAAGTTAAAATAATTCTTTATCGTATACAGTAGCTAAAGAGTTTTAATGTTTTTAATTTCTTAAAAAAAAATACACGGAAATGTCTCCACCTTTCTTTGTTGTGTTTGTTCCATTTCTTGTAGAAAAATAATTTAATTAAGTAGTAAGTGTTTAATTTTGTAATTCAACTTTAATTTACTGTATTGTTTATTGGAGCTGGAAAAAATATTTGAAAGAGGCTTGGAAGAGATTTAATAAGAAATAAGTAGAAATCTAGTAAAAGGAGAGGAGATACACAGTAGCTAGTCTTCTATATGAACTATCCATTCCTTAAGCCTAATCTACAATGTGCTCTCTGCGTCTAGAAACATTCTACTTTGTAGCCAATAAATACGTCCAACAACTTTGTGCAAGTTGATAAATTGTATATTGTACACTGTATAATCGTACACTGTCGACGATTTTTTTAAGCGTTTCGATTTGTTTATATAAAATAGAATGTTTCTCGACGCTGAAAGCCCGTTGTAGATTAGGCTTTAGAGATAGTCCTTTGGAAACGTAAAAAATGCCGCTTTTTGAAATTGGTTCTACATAACAACGTCCAAATGTCACTGAACAAAGCTATATGCGAAACTTCTGATCGAGATCGGGTTCTACACATAAAAGGAAATGGACTGTAATTATGTGGCAAAGAGCTAAATAAGAACTTGCTTGATCGATCAAGAACCGCGGTTACGAACTGGTTAGGCTGTGCGCGAGCAGTTTGTTGCCGCGAATGACGCATGAGAACGGCTTCGGCCGGACAGGTCGTGCGCTCGTAGTGCATTCGCCTATCGCCTATTTAACGACGTTGGAAATGGATTTTCATTTTCGTTCGTGAGGGACCGTGGCGACCCTCGAGAGTGGGCTCGCTTTTGTCTGCGTAGGTCAATTCGCGATGCCTCGCACATGTTTTACGCTTCCTCCCCCTCCCCTAGGGCAGTGCCTCCCAATCGTTTTTACATCGTGTTAGACTAATGTTACATTTGTCCAGGTCGTACGGCAAATGTAACGTTATCCTTTTCCGTATAAAGAGGTAATACTTGTGCGGTAGACCGTGGGGTAGACTCGAAGGCAAGTATCCGAGGGGGAGATGCCGGGACCTTCGTAATGAGCTTCGTGACATTTGTTTCATGCGCGGCGTTGCCGGCGAAGATTTCACAGATTCTCCGGCCATCTTTGTGCGGATATTTTTCTCAGCGAACATATTTGGAAAGAGCCGCCCTTTGTCATCGGCGTGTCTTTAAATCGCACACCTTTTAAAATGATATTGATTTGAAAGTAGGTAAAGGACCGTATGACTTCTCTCGATGTTTACATTTCTGATGCTTATTGTGAGGCAGGTTAGCCTCCTAGCAGGCGTGTACCTGCGCCGAGCACACGTGTGGAAAACTCGGTCCTATTTTTCAGGACGAAAAAGATGAAATCTTTTGGGTCTTTCAGAGTCAGTGATTCTCAAAACAACGTAAGGTGGATCTGCGGATTACGATGTTTTTTTTTAGCTCGCATAGAAGGCTAAAATTATTATTTATTAGTATCTATTTATTTTTATTATTAGCTATTTATTTTCATCATTATTGTTAATCGCGAGGAATTGGCACGATTCCGTACACTGCGACACGATTATTCTGCAAGTACTTATTAAAACATAAAATTGATGTGGAGAGAAATGAACTGAGTTATTCGTTGCTCTTTACGCAATACGATGTATGTTATAGACAAGTCACGTGAGTAAACTAACATGCGGATCATTGCTATTTACGTCAGATAGCCGCATGTGAATTACCTTAGCGAAGTCGCAATCTACGTTCGTGCACACAGGGTGCATAGAATTAAATCGCGCGAAGGGTGTACGCCCTTCTCATTTAAATTTATGTTGCTCGGACAAAATTGGCGACCCTTCGGATCGTAAACAGGCTGTTTACTCTTTCGGTACAATAGCGGACACGCTACTCTTACGCAGCTTCAAATTTCCTGTACAAAAAAATATACTTTTTCATAAAATATACTTTTTCGTAAAATCTTTATTTAATATTTTTACTTAAGTTACTTGAATTATATATCGAGAATGTATTTTCGCAAATATTTATCTACATGTAGTTACTTATTATTATATCATCAAAGTGATACAAATAAGGTTATATTATTATCAAAGTAATTACATGTATGATATCCTGAAGGACTACTAATTTTGTCTGATATAAATTTTTATTACACACGTTTGCGCACAACATGAAATCTAACATTAAGATTCTTGTAAAAAGATATTTATGTGTTAAAAAGAAAATTCAGTGCAAGACAAAGCATTAGGTAAACGGATAATATAACAATCAAGTAATTTCGAAAGAATAAACGAATTTTCTGTATCTTCGAGGGGGCGACATTGAACACGGATATTCGCGTGTGCGCGCTAGGGTCAACAGCGGTCTCAGGGGTTGTCAGGTTCAAATAACTTGGAACCCGGCAAGACTTCGATCCAGGTGCACAGTATTAATCGTAGGGCACGCCTACGTGTGACTCATTCTAGAGGAGTTCCTGGTTTCTTTTTATTACCTTTTTTGTACGAGGGATGTGCGTGGAGCAAATATTATCTACATAAATCACCCCGCCACTTATCACCTCGATTTGTATCTTAAATTTGCAAAAACTTTCAAAGATCCTTTTTTTTGTTTCAATCAGGAACAAACACAGGACGCTTTTCTTCGCGAGACATTTTCTGAATTAAGGTGGCTCCTGCACAAACCGACCAAAAGTAGAATAAATTGAAATTTAAGTATGTTATAAGTTTTATTACTTAAATAAAAATTCATTTTTACATTCGTTAAATAAATGAAAACAAATTTTTTAATGCAAATCGAATCCAAGCTATCGATCGGGTGTAGTTCCAAGTTGATCGGATCGGTCATTTTTGAGATCCGATAATCTTAAGGGTCTCTCAACTCGCATACTCGCGTAAAGATACGCGTCGCGTGTCTCGCACGCTCAGTTTTCGCTACGCTTATACTTGGCGCGAGACACTGCCGTGTCTCTTGATCGATCAGTACGCGAAATTTCAGTCCCGGTCGCCGACGAAATGAAAGAAAGGAAAAATGTTAAAGTGGCACTTTTTAACATCCCAGTAAACACCAAGTAACAGCTACATAACATTAATATTATAATTTCCTACTCAACAAGATAAATGTAATATAACACCCATGTTGTGTTACATTTACATTGTTAAGTAGGAAATTATAATATCGATATTATGTAACTATTGCGTGGTGTTCGCTGGGACGGGGATCATGGGCCGATTCCGAACTTGAAACTCGAATGCGTTTTACTTTGGAGTGTTAAAACGTGAACTAAGTAGTGGACCGCGCAATACGATCAAACCTTTTGTCCGAGTCCTACTGGAAACTTATTTCATAAATTCATTGTTTTTTTTTTTCGACAGTGCAAACGACTTTGCACATTTCACTTTTCGACTTGCATTCATAAATTTTCTTATTTCCACAATACTCTCTATTGTTTCGAGAGTATAGCTACTCAATGGCTGTGAAAGATGTGTGAACAACGTGGTCAGAGCGGGGGCTCGAAGAAAGTATGTGAAATAAAATAACACGTGTGCGAAGGTTCGGTATGCGGACGGGCAAATACCACACCTCTTACTAGATCGGCATTCCGTTGAATCCGGGCTGCCTCCTCCCAGCAGATATTACGCCAAAGTTGACTTCTTATTCTTCTCTTTTCGTTTTCGCTCATTCCGACGTGGTAACCGGCAATCAGCGCATGCCCCTCAACATACCGAGCCCTGAACGAAATAATCAGCATAATCGATACGAAACTAAGGCCCGGTTTCACCAGACGTTGCTTAACTTTAATCTTAGATTAATTCACGTTCGTCTCTTTCTAGAGTAATCGCCAGAAGTTTCATACATAACGACATGAGCGTAAAGTTAAAATCGTATCTCGTATTGTACTCGAATAAAGTAACTGCGCTGAAAAAGAATCTGATAGATTCAACCAGTCGTCTGTTAGAAAATGCACGAATCAGAATTCTTTTAGGATTTACCAGATGCGCAGTGAGGTCTAGCAAACTTCTGGTTATGAAATATCTTTCGTGGTAAATCCTAAAGGAATTCTGATTCGTCCATTTTCTAACAGACGACTGGTTGAATCTATCAGATTTTTTTTTTCAGTGTGGCCTTCTCGTCTTTAAAGACTATTCGACTGTGTCAATCTATAGAAAGTAATGACTTTTGGGCTGTGAGTAAAATTAAATCATTAATAGAAAGTCGTCGAACTATTGTCAATATGAATCACCACCGCATTATTGTCGATTTATATCTTAAATTTGCAAAAATTCTTTCTAGTTTTAATTGTGAACGTTAACATTCGAGTAGCAAATAAAAGGTTCGCGAGAAGTTTTCTAAATTAAATGAATTATAGAATCTTCGAATATTGGAAATCGAAGTTGACTTCCGTCCGAGCTTGAACGTTTTCTTACGTAATATCATTATAATACATGTAAAAATACGCCGTCTATAAATTTAATCATCGACCGAGACAAAGTTGATCGTCTTGGAATTTATTAAATAATCGTTTTGCACAGAGTTCCCTGCATTATCGTTGCACGTGATTCACGGGGATCTCGTTTCAACACACCTCGGACTTACCTTCTATCTTTCTCCAGTTTCAAGAATTGGAGAAAAATAGAAGGTACGTTGACCCGGGATTAAAGTTGATCTCCGCATTGATCGAAATGGATGTACAAGTAACGGGATTGAAACGTTCTGTTTCAGATCTGTCAGTAATCTGGCACTTGGGCGAGAATGCGCACCCCTGCTGAGACCGAGATTTCGACCCAATCCGAAATGTACAACCTGGAAACCGAGGAAACGGGAACGTCCCCGGACGTCAGCGGAGTGGTCTTATCGTCACCCCATCCAGAGGCCCATATATTTACTAACAGGTAACTGCTACTTTTCTACTGTTAGTTCTTGATAAAATGCCACTGCCGACCTGTCGCGACACGATAATTTAGCAATGTTGGACAAATCACTGAAATATATATGCTTTATTACCTTTAGCATACAGCCAGAAAGTGGGACTTGGTTTACAAAAGTTTCTTAACCACTCATTCATCCATACTCTCATTAGACTCTCTCTAATCTCTACCCCTAATCTCTTTCCCTTCTTATTTCTTACTTCTAATTTCTTATTTCTACAATGACTAGCTCATCTTTTTTTGCCTTTCCTTTTCCTTCCATAATTTACATAATATCTTTCCTTTATCTTCATCTATTACATCGTTATATAATCTTTCCAACTTCTTATCCATACCATTACCTAACTCTAAAAACCAGTCTTTCGTCGTTTTACAATCCTTTATATAGTGCTCTATATTATATCTTTACCCTCTTTACAAAATATACATATTCTTCGTTCATTTTCTTCTTCCAACCAGTATTTGTTATCTTCCTCCATGTTTCCGCATCTTAATCTTATCAGCGCTCTAATTTCCTTACCTTTTTCCATCATATCTATTATTTCTAAACTCTAAGTATCTCGGCCTCCCCTCCGCATTGCTTAAATCTCTGTATCTCTTATTATATTTCGCTTCCCTAATCCTACCTTCTTCCCATTGCTTTTGTGTGTCTCCTTCTCTATTTTTGAAATCTTATCATATTCCTTTCCTCCTTCGGCATGCTATCTACTGCCATAATACCCCATCCATTTCTATTACAATAAGCCTCCCTCTCCCTACCATACAAATCAGTCCATCCTTCCTCTTGTTTTTCTTTCCAGCAAACTTTTACCCATCTATTGTCCCCCATCTCTTTTATTTTTTCCTCATATCTCCTCGCATTTATCCCCCATTCAATTTTTAATTTATCCAATTCTAGTTCTCTCGTTATCAGATACCTTGGCGTACAAAAATCAAGCTTAAATACCCATCTTACATAGTCCAACATTATTTTCTCCAGAGTTTTCCTCTCCGCCCATCCCCAAAGTTCTACACCGTACGACATACTTAACACTCCTCACCAAATAGTTAAATAACATCCCTCTTAAATCAATGAAATATAAGATACGAAAGGGAGAAAAGATATGAGAGAGAGAGAGAGAGAGAGAGGGGGGGGGGCAGAGAAGGACACAAGAAACAAAGTAAATTTCTGGGCTTTTTCCATACAGCAATTCATTCACCGAAGTAGCTAAGAACATTTCTCTCGTAAGCGGGGAAGAAAATTTTCATAATGCGGTTCTATGCATTCATATTTCTGAGAATTTCCATTGCATTTATTACCAGGTATTACTTCGCGTGTTATTAAATACTTATATAACGGCGCCGTGTCCGACGGCAATAAAATTATAAGAAGTTCAAAGTTAAAAATTGTAACTAATAAAAATTCTTCAGTGTCGCCAGCGGTAATTACGGATGTATTCGACAATCTTAGACAAAAGTGCACGAAATTGGAAATACTTGAATATCTACTCTTAACGCATAGTAAATCTAGATGTAAGAAACTTGAACGATAGTTGGAGTCTTATTTGTACTCCTGCAAAGGTATTTTTCACTTTCCAATTTTTTTTCCTGCATTATTTCTGCAGTACATTAGGAAGACTAAGAGAACAATTTCACAAATTTTTAGCGACTTTGTACTATTTTGAAGATAGATCCGATACATCCTTAACAACGTCGGTGTTTTCTCGACCATGCCTGGCATTTTTGATAACACAGAAAACTCCTCGCGTAAAATATCACCTCAGCCAGGGTTTGAACCTGGACCTGCCTGCACTCTAGGCGGGCGCCTCACCGATATTCAACCACCTAGACCGGTCCAGGTTCAAACCCTGAGGTAATGTTGTTCGCAATAAGTTTTCTGTATTACTAAAAGTGCCAGGTACGGTCGAGAAAACGCCGATGTTGTTGAAAATTTCTATTCGCTATTTCGTTAATTTCCGTAGTAGAAGTAGGCATTGCTACTTTCCGTGCCTCTTTGTTTCTTTCTCTCTTCCTTCTCTCACTCTCCTGTTACAAATTAAAAATAACGCGCTGTACGCAAGTGAGAATTTATTATTACCGTTTAATTGCTAATTAACTGTTATCGGTTATCGCAACATTTGCACAATGCAATTGATCTCGTTACTAATTAACTACTAATTAATCCAATCATTTAACTGCCAAAGTGTTTCGATGTGTTTTATAACCAGACGCCTCGCATCAGTTCGATCGAACATAAGCGAGTATTGACCACATTTCCTTGTTCTTACATCACGCTCGCATGTTGTTGTTTTTTTTTATCAAAGAACTGAATTATCATAACCAGCGTTGGACTCGAATCGACGCTGCCGGTCAAGTTCACCGCAACGGTTCACGCAAATTACATCGTTAAAAGCTTACAAACACCTGGCACCCGTAACTTTGCATCGGTACATAAAGAATGAAAGAGCCTGACAGTTATCTCGCGCTGTGCATCTGCAAATTCGAAATAGCGCGGGCCGCGCATTATCTCCGCTCGCGCAATGCGTCGCGAGCGTGCGAGCGCTGCCGATAGCATGTGGCGGCGATATTGGAACGACAGATAAGTCGAGAGAGAAAGAGAAAAACAAGAGAGAGAGAGAGAGACAGAGAGGGGAGGGGGAGAAGGAGACAAAGAGAGGAAGAGAGAAAGAAAGAGGCGACAAAGGTGGCTCTCTTGGCTCTATCCGCTGATCCGCACGCTCGCCAGTAAGCGGGATACATTTCGTGCGTGCGTGCGTGCGTTTCGTGCCGTACTGTGCCGTACTGTGCCGTGCCGTGCGCCGTGTCGTGTCGTGCATGCATGCGTGCGTGTCGCCCTCGGACCCGAAACGATCGGCGGCCGTGGTCGGTGGCGCGACGCGACGACGAATGCTAGGTGCCTCGACGGCCGCGTCGTAGCCGGTACGGTGCTCCGCTCGTGCGTCCATATGCTGTACGCGACGCGATGGTCCTCGCGCGGTTCTTCCTCAAGAAGCCAGCGACGCAGAACGACGACGACGCCGCCGGCGGCGACGCCGCGGCCGTCGCCGTCGCGGTAGTGTCCGGCGATGTGGCCAGCGCTACGGCCAATAGGTGAGGCGGCGGGATCTCGGATCTCCTCGCGACGCCCTCGCGACCACGGGGACGGTCTTAGAAATTTCCAAGCCGACGCGGGCGCCCAGCCGTCGCTCGTGTTGTACTTGACGCGCGAACGTAGGCGCCCGCTCGCTCGCCGGGAGCGGGACGTCGCGTTAAAAATGACAATGCCTGGCGCGGCGCGCGCGCCCCGTGAGAAATAACAAACAGAGGACTGCCCGCGTACTGCCCCGGGACAACCGAGGCCCGTCCTGACGTCACAGATTCTCAAAATGTGCGCGTCATCTCGCCCTCGTAAATCTTTCGAAAATGGAGAGAACGTCCCGGGGGGGGAAGCGTCATCCTCCTCCTCCCCCTCCTCCTCCTCCTCCTCGTGCATCGCAGTGCGCGACTCCGCTTTCTCCCGATCGATCGAGACGCGAGATTGCAGACCGCGAGTTTTTGCCGCGTTACAACGCGATTCTCGGAAACGCGGGCGTTTCTCAGAAGGGGCGCGGGCATTCGCGAAATATATACTTAAAGGGATCTCGTCCTTTCAACTGAGCGTCTCGCTGTCAGTAACACTCTGACGCCGGCGATGTCGGGCAATAAATGTATTTCTCCTTTAATTTAAAACACAAAAATCGAGATTTGCGTCGATCTCGGTAACGTCTTGTTCCCTGCAGAGTTATAATTACGCTTTTCAGATACGTCGCTCGTACAAACAACCAGCGTTACATATACATATGTATACATGATTCAAGATTAAAAATGTACAAATCTCGCCTCTCGTGTCGTCGAGCCGGTGGTGAAATCGCAATTTTTGCGAAACAGCGAGCGACGTAAAAGAGTGCCGGCACTTCCCGAGGGTCATTTCTGTATCTTACACTATTGTGAAAATGCTAAAAGCGAGTAGCTTTGTCTCTTTCTAACTGTCCCCCGAGGGGGAAACCGCTGGGGGGACCGAGTGGTGTACAGATATGCGGCATTACTGGGCATTACTAGGCACTTTTTGGGCATCAGTTCGGGCATGAGGCCTTGCTGGGGTATTGTAAAGATAAAATAAGATAATAAGACAAAGTGATGCCTGCTGGGCTTTAGTGTACAAGATTTTGGTCAGCGGTTTCCCCCTCGTTGTCCCCTTAGAAAGGGACAAAGCCGCTCGCTTTTAGCATTTTCACTAAATTGTAAAATACAGAATCTACCCTCCGGTCTCTTCAGAAGCCAAGTTTTAGGTTCGACCGTTTTCAGATATAATTCGAGCTTTTTACACAAGTTTTTTTACACAAAACGCATTCTCGCTACATCGATGCATTGGGATTACACATCTCGATGTATCTCTCAACTATATTGTAATGCAAATCTTTTTCGGGTGTATCGTCAGAGCAGTACAGTTGCGGAGGCAAAACATTTACAGAGATGTGTGCAATTAAATAGAGGTGTGACATTTTGATGTTATTTTGTGGCATCTTTTGCGTTTTGTTTGTCCAGATTTTGCGCCATTTTGATGTTATTTTTTCACATCTGTTGCGTTTTGTTTCTCCGGATTTTGCATTATTTTGATAATGTTTCTGATAATGCCGTGGTCAGAGGTGGGCAGGGCTTCAATAAGACGACTTAGGCCCGGTTTCACCTACGTCGCTTAACTTTAAACTTGGTTTAATTCGTTCTTTACCGCTTTCCAACTGTTACTTTAGAAAGAAGTAAAGAACGAATTAGGCTAAGCTTAAAAGCTAATCAACGTTGGTGAAACCGGGCCTTAGTGTCTCGATAGAACAATTTACGACATTTATTAAGGCTAAACATACGTTAAAAATGTAACATAAAACATAACATATTTAAATAGCATGGGACAAATTACTGAAATTACATATTATTTTCGGGCTGTAAAA